AAAAAAAAGTAGTATCATACGTAATAACATAATAACCGTTAATACCGTACCGTAATCACTAAATAAACAATAACATATTGTTATGAAATGACGTTTCTAAACATTTATTTACTTTTGGGATAAGAAAAATGTTCTAAACTTGCAACACTTATAGCATAGTATACTAGTATAATAGTGCCTAGTATTTGTGTTACGTGAAGTTAATTCACGACATTTTGCGATTTTATTTAAATTATAAATAAGTTACTTAGTGGTATAAAATATTATTAGAAAACTTATGTTAAACAGGAATTATTTTTACAGTTGTTGATAATACAGGACGGCATAATTTCGCAATTTTTATAATGTCATCATAATACTACGTCACGCTATCCCACTCCACCGCAGCAGACTACCGAGCTTCCGTCTTCGTATTGCGTGCCTCACTTCTAAAAGCGGATTGTTCCCTCTTGACTTTTTTATTGATCTGATTACATTGAAAGATGTAATGATGCTCATTTATTCGATTCATCGTTTAATTTTGAAATCTTTTCTGAAAACTAAATGCATTTTTTTATACGGTTCTTAGTAAAAGAATTTATCGTCGTTAAAAAAAAATATTTATGTCATCTTGCGATAGGGGGTCCATGAATGAGAGTATTCACAAATAATACTATAGTAACGAGCCATTGCTCTAGACATACGAGTACGTGCGTGTACATAATATGGCGCCCACCTATTTACGGTCTAGCTATATTTAATACACACTACACGGTGCTGCATCCAAAATGGTATAGGCTCAATCGTAAAACCTCAATTCCGCTATTTTTATTACGAAATAAATTAAAAGTCGATTAACAGCAACGGTTTAGATTGAAAGATTTTCTACGATTTGACATATTAATTACACATAATTCGCAGAACGGTTTTATTTGATTTATAGATTACTCATTTATTAGACGTTCGGCGACGACTTGGCGATCTGTTCTCTTTGGCTACCCCTTCAGGGATTGTGGGTGAAGATAAGTAAGTATTTATTAGACATGGATCGAGTGATTCGCCGAGTACTCGGCCACCGGGTACTCACTCGGTCTATATTGGGCCGAGTACTCTGCCGAATACTCGGCTTTAAAAAAAACGCGGTAGCGGGTAGGGTTACCATATCTCAGGATTTGTCCTGAGATTTCAGGATTTTTAGACTCTTCTCAGGATTGCGGCTGGATTTTGCAAATCTCATGAAATCTCAGGATTTTTAGAATTTTCAATATAATACAGCTTATATTTTAAAGATCTCTTTAATAAAAAGTTAAACAAACTAAAAATAATTTTCCTTTGGTAATAATTCCACAATTAAAATCAAAATTTATTTATCCAAGTAGGTACTTAAACAGTTTTATCATACTTAATATGTGAAGATACCTTTTTAAGTAAGGTTTTCTTCTCAAACGGTAAAAAATTTTAAGATTTTTAAATGGAAATCAGGCCTCTTCTCCGGACTTTAAATTTTTTCATCTGGTAACCCTAGTAGCGAGAGGCGTGAGGTTATTTCCCTTACAAACTAGACCCAAATATGTCAGAAAAACTAGTGTTTTTGCATCACTATCTTCCTCTCTTAAATTTTAAATATTAGTAATAATAATTTCTATTATAGATTCTTATGTACGTTCTAAATATTTCTGCTGCTTCTCATTTTCCTGATGTTTTAATGTGTCGAATATAAAAATAATGATAAAAACTGGCTTTTTGTCTATTTTTCTCTGGAATATAATTAAGGCCGAGTACTCGGTACTTGGCTGTTAATACTCGGCGTTCGGCCGAACCCTAAATAAACGCCGAATCCGCCGAGTACCGAATCCAAACCGAGTACTCGTCCCATGTCTAATTTATATGTGAAACGAGAGCCCAATATGTGTATAATAAACAATACAATACAAATTTATCAAAATGATCAATTTTGTTAAATTTGTGTATACATAATAATTTGTTTCCATTTTCATACATTTGCTTTCGTCTTTTAATATTAAATAATAAGTGTATTAAATAAGTTTCAATCCACAATTTTTGGTATTATTTGGGCATCTACAGAGGAAAGCAGTTTAAATAATTAAAGAGATAAATAAATAGGCATTCAAATTAATTATAGCAAATATCCCGTTTATGAGTCAATCTATGAGTCTACTTAAGTTCCAAACTGGTATTTCATAGGCTATTATGCATAGATGGATGGATAGATTGCAATAAAATTAAAATTGGAATCAAAGTATCTATATAAATTATCTTCTTTTTAAACACTTCAATAACAAAGTAGTACAAGCTCTCTTAAGAGAGACCCTTTTGACTTGCGTGCTAAGAAACAATTTCTTATAATTGTAATTCTTGTGACAAAATCAGAGCTATAGAGTCGTTTCCGGCATTACTAAATATGTATTGTAGTTTTAGATTATTATAAGGCACCGGTTTTGTAGGGTTTTTTCGCATCCGTAGGTAATATTTATTCAATGACATTTATAATCGCTAAACAAAAGTGTGTCTGCCTGCTTTGGAGTATAATTAGCGTTATGAATGAGTTACTTCGGACGAGTGATAAGGGATAAAAAGCCCAATGGTTAAAACAGCAATTAAAAAATTCAACTGCGTAATGTCATTGGTGTACTCGTATGTCTCTTCCACAACTGAGACGAATCTAACGACATCCCATATTATGTTCAAATTAGTCCAGCCATTAAGGCCACACAACATGCTGCACGCTGTTTAGCCTAAACGAGTGTGTATGCATGTATGAGATAGACATACATACATACAAACATAGACTCAAAAAACATTATTCCCCTTCTAGGGCAGTCGGGGTAATAATATCTACTAACACATTTGCTAAAGCTAATTAAAGTTTATACGAAAGACTAAGAAAACCATGAAATAAGTAATTTTCACGAGTTTCGTTAGTTCTTGTAACATTATTTAATCTGTGCTTAAAGTAAGGACATACACAAACTTAATGTACATGAGTAAACTTAAACTATTTCGTTGTTCCATTGTTCCATGTGTCAATTTAATAATAATGATAAAAATTTAAATATTAAACTTGACCTAATATTTACATTTTATTTACTACTTAGGTAAATGAAATCCTCCATCTTAAAAAAAATCGCGTTATCTACATAGATAACGCTATTTAGTTGCATTGGAGTCAAAACGTGGAGGTTAAAACATTTAGATAACAAAAGTATTAACAAATGTATTAAGTCACAATTTACTGCATGAATTACTAGTTTTACTTCGTTTGTCTAGGGGTACGACTGCTGATCATGTGGCATACACGGGTTCGAGTCCCGGGTCGGGCCAAAATCAGTTATCTTTTTTTTCTGTCATTAAATTCTCAGTGGCAGCTCGGAGGCAAGAAGTTTCTCACCTCCGTGCCACGAAAAGCACATAAATTCGTTGGTCCTGCACCTAATCTCCCTCCGGTGGTATCGGATTGCCATCTCATCGGATTATGAGAGTGAGGGAATAGAGTGCGCACCTGCGCTTTAGCACTCACTAGTGCACTATAATCCTGTCCAGCGCAGACGGTGGACGAAATTCGGTTTGGGGGCAATTATTATTATACCGCCACATATCGATTCCAGATTTTATGATTTTCTTTCTTGGTACTAAACCAACATAAATTATTATCGAGCAAGATCTTGCGGAAGATAGATACCTCCATATTATGTTTACATAAGATATATCAGTAGCTTAGAGAATTTAAATAAAATTATCTTTCTAATTGTGCATCTTCTCAGCCTTCTGGCGTTATGTATCTATATCTATCTTTATATATTAATACCTATATAACATTCTTCCGGCCGTTTGTGTGACTCAACTCTTCCTAAACGGCTGGACCGATTTTGAAGAAATTTTGTGTGTGATTAAATTAATTCGATAATCGTTTAGGTTCACAATTAGACCAGGTAGGTGGTGCTATTGTTGAGATCTAGAACTTACCCGTGCGAAGTCGGGACGGATCGCTATTCTACATATATAAAAGAGGATGCCCTAAGGGACTGACTCCTGCGCCCCCTTTTCCCTAAAGGGGGCCGCTTCCGATTCGGCAGAAAGGCCATACAGGCCAATGCCAGTCCCACGGGTGGTGTTTAGTGGGTAGGCACGTAGAAATCCTAAATTTGGAGAAGCTGCCTTTTATAACGTAGGCATCCACTAAGAAAAAAAATTGGAAAATTCAACCACGAAAGGGGGTGAAATAGGGCTTTACAGATTATATGAAACTCTTTACTTTACGGGGCTATTAAGTCGAATCTTACTGACGGTACTCTGTAAATAAAATAAATAGAGGTATTTTTTCAATTTGATAATTGATGCATGAGTGATGATATGCACGGCGAATATAAAGAGGTAAGGAGTTTCACAAGCGTTGAGAAGTAACAGATATATATTTCAAGGTCTGTATATTTCAAGGTCTGTATATTTCAAGAACGTCCGAGGAATCCGAACCAAAACACATGATTCTTTTTTATATAAAATAAAAAATAAATAAATAATGAAAGTAACTGATTGGTAATCTTGTTAGAATTTGGGCATTTATATGAATTCAAAAAATACCTTTTAGTAAAAAAAAATTCAAGGCCGTCTTCAAAGAACTAAATATAATAAAATAATTCCACGTTATAAAATCGGTGCTAAGCTGCTAAGACATAGTGTTTAAGGATCAAATCCTTGATTTCAGAATGTGAAATTATTTTATTTTTTTTAAGTCGGCGTATCCTTTTATTAATAGTTTATTTTTTACCCTTTTGTGTGGACTAAGGAACATTGAGAATTTTATCACCTATTTGTAAAAAAATGTATTACTTTAATTGGCTAAGTAAAATTTGTACTCGTAATTAATTTAATTATCTAAGAAATTAGATAATTAAATTAATTACGAGTACACAAGTTTAGTAGTAGTAGTATTTTACTACTACTACTAAACTTGTGCTTGTGTTGATATAAATAAACAACTCTGACACGTTAAAAAATGTTACCTTATCAAATACGAGGGCAGGTGATGCGGAACCAATGCCACCATCCTTTTTCTTCTCAATCTTGTAAACTATAATATGGTTCTCCCGAACCGTGTGCACGATGAACGCCTTCGAATCCGGACTCCACGCTACGTAGGAAGCATGATCGTACTCGATATTGACCCGCAGATTCTTGTGTTCCTTCTGATTTAGATTCTTGATGTCCCAAAGGATAACTGAACCATCTAATGGGAAAAATCGAAAAATAAAATTTTAATTATTTACAAGTATTTAAACATATATATAACTATTTTAATCTCACGTATTTAAAATCATGCATAAAATCTAAATGGATTTTTTTACGAATGTCATATCGGCTCCCTTTTGTGACCGATATATAAATACCTACTAAAATATTATGATCGGTGGACTAGACACCATCTAACAATAAAGATATTAAAAAAAATTATAAATAATATAAATAAGGCAAAAAAAACATGGACTATTCAGGAAACACACTGATAGGTCGTCACGCAGGAAGAATAGTCTCCTCCTGCGTGACCCAAGCAGCATGCAAACTGTATAAGAGCTGCATTGAAGTTAGTTTTTATACAAAAGGTTGTATTTTCTGGCTGTATAAATGCTCTATAAGCGCTCATACAGTTTTTATAAGTAAAAAAATTGCTGAAATTATACAGCTTTATGCGTTAGTAGCGCTGTACAGTAGCTGTACAAGCATAAGAGGCTGTTTAACTGCTGTATTACAGCTGTAATTTGGTGTACAAGGAAACTATTACACTACAGATATTGTCTTATAAAACAAACGTTCTAAATTGGTTTTTGAACGGAATCACAAATGAATATAATACAAAAAGAACGTTTGTTGAATGATGGCGACATTTAACGTCTTACATATACCTAGTCGGGTCATAAGTTCTGTCAAAACCTTATTATTTAAAATTTTTGAATACTGGGCTAGATGAACCTAACCAATTTTAAAAATATAACGTTTGCACTTACCGAAAATAAGAAATACATTAATTTTCATTCATTTTCAAATATGGAGTGGTCGAAGAAAGAAGATTGAGTTGCGGTTATCGCGTTGCAACGCTGTGGTTACGCGCCAAAAGAGATTTTCAGTATTCTACAAAAATTGAAAATAATCCTACGATTTGTTTATCGCACTATCAAACGATTCACTGAAGATTCAAACTTCGAAGATCGTAAGAGGACCGGCCGACCTCGTACAGTTAGGACACTCGCGATCATCACAGCAGTGAAGGCGTGAATCCAACGAAATCCTGTTCGTAAACAAATAATCTTAGCTCTTCAGATGGGCTTAAGCTGAACCACGGTCAAAAGAGTGAGCAATGAAGACCTAGGACTACGTGCTTATCGTAAGAAGACCGAAAATTTTTGAACGAGCGTTTGAAAATAGGCTTGATAGTTCCCGCGCTTTGTTACGGCGGTACGCGGGAAAAAACGCCGCGAAATTTTGTTTTCGGATGAAAAATTTTTTAACATCGAAAAAAGTTATAACAAAAAAAATTATAAGGTGTATGCCCACAGCAGTGAAGAAGCCAGCACGCGTATTCCGCGGGTTCAGCTAGGACATTATCCTTCGTAACTCATGGTTTGGCTTGGAGTCATATTCAGGTTTAACTGAGGTGTTTTTCTGTGAAAAGTTGTAAAAATCAGTGCCGAGGTGTACCAAAATACCGTCCTAACAAACACAGTGGAACCTCTTTCTCAAACAATGATCAAAACAGACATTGAATATTGCAACAGGACTCTGCACCAGCTCATAGGGCACGAAGCACGCAAAACTGGTTGACCGCCCGTGGAATTGACTTTATCGGCCATGAAGACTGGCCCTCTTCTAGTCCAGATTTAAACCCACTGGATTATAAGATATGGCAACATTTGGTGGAGAAAGCCTGCGCTAAACCTCATCAGAATTTGGAATCTCTCCGAGCATCTATGGCTAAAGCAGCGGCAGAAATAGATATGCATGTGGTGCGTATTGAGATTGATGATTAGCCGCGTCGATTAAGGGCATGTATTCAAAATAGGGGAAGGCATTTTGAATAATGTAAATTACATTGTATTCCAAATTAAATTACCTTTCATTTCATATATAATTTCTACATAATTATCAAAAAGTGTATCATTAATTTTATAAAAAGTTTTTGACGGAACTTATGACCTGACTAAGTATTTAACATATTAATAATATTCGGATTGGAGTTGAGTTTTGATGGTGCTAATTGGTAAATTGAAAGTGCAAAATTAGATTTACGGTAAACTTGTATGTTTTCTATTAAAAACTTGCCGCGCCAGCAAAATAACAAAATAATATAAGGACCGATAAAGAAATACCACCGATATTTAGTTACCGTATTTAGTATTTTCTAAATACGGTAACTAAATATCGGTGGTATAGGTTAGAATAAAAAAAACAATTAATGCATATGAAGGCACATTGGGGCACAGTTATCATTAATCAAACTGAAAGTAATAGTATAGGCTTAGACTAATGTCTGATCTGATACGTAGGTCACTCAATAGTTTTGAGATACTCGAAATTTAAAAATGGAACGCACCCGTGTTATATGTTTCTAAAAAGCATATATATTTAAAAATAGAACTCCATTAGCAAATTGCTCAAAATTAAAAAAAAAAACAAAGTTCTATTAATTTTCCTGTAACGCTTCCCGCGCTTTTCATTTAAAACAATGGATCTTAACCGTGAACATTTGCGCGCTATGATATATTATGATTTTAAACTTGGTTTAATCGAATAATTAAGTTTACAACGGTTACAATCAGCATTAGGAGACTCAGCTTCATCACGCGCAACAATTTTTAGGTGGTTTGCTGAACTCAAAAGGAGTAAAATTAATCTTAAAGATGACCAAAGAACCAGGGCCCCTCAAACAGCAGTAACGGCAGAAAATATATGGACTACTGAAATGTTGGTGCGAATAGACCCACGAATCACATATACGGACATCGAAAAGATTGTAGGAATTAGTTCGGTGAGCATTCATTCCATTCTACATCAACACCTTGGAGTGAGGAAGCTTGGTTGTCGATGGATCTCTTGTTTGCTCTCCGAAAGCGAAAAACAGACTCGTGTGGATTGGTGTCAAGAAATGCGTCTACGTTTTGAAAACGGAGCATCTAGGTGTGATTCAGAAATCGTTAGTGGTGACGAGACATGGATCTATCAATATGATCCGGAAAATAAAAGACAATCATCGGTATGGGTCTACTCAGGACAGTTACCGACAAAACTGCAAAGACCTCGCAACATCGGCAAAAAAATGGTGGCTAGATTTTTTCGCGGAGAGGACATTTGTCGACGTCAATGTTGGAAAATTGTAGGTCAGTCAACTCTGAGTGGTATACTACAGTTACATTACCCAAAGCTTTTCAAGCTGTGCGCGAGAGAAGACCAAAGACCGGGCTTTGGGGAATCGTGGTGCATCACGATAACGCCTCTTCACATACCGCCCTTAGAACAAAAGCATTTATTGAGGAATCTGGTGTTGAAACTCTAATTCACCCACCCTACAGTCCTGACTTAGCTCCTTGCGATTTCCTTTTGTTCCCAAGAGTCAAAGATAAAATAAAAGGCAAATTTTTTTCAAGCGCCGAAGAAGCCGTGGCTGCCTACGAAGAAGCGATTTCCGACCTGTCAGATCAAGACTGGCAAAGTGTCAGAGTTGGTTTAGGCGAATAGAACTTTGTATAGAGCACGATGGAGAATATTTTGAAAAGATGTAAAATAAATATTAATAGTATCTAGAATACTTTTTGTACATCTTAAAATTATATTTGAAATTTTGTTATTATGGGTCTTAAAATGGCGACAATTTGCTAAACAGCCTAAACGGTATTTCGAGGATCTTATAGTCTTACTAAGCTGTAGTGTATATGTTATGCATTATATCATGAAGCCATTAGTTTTTAATCAGTTCTTTAATATGATATTTTTATCATTACTTACGCTGTATAGCAGTTTTTTCAACATACATATAATTATCTTTAGAAATACGTATAAAAGATGAAAAAACTTGTCTTGGGAACAGTGTTGGATAAATTAAATTTAGATTTAACGTGGTCTTTTAACTGCACCAAATCTTTTTCTTTTTTTCCACATATTGATAACAAATTTATTTTGTTAACTAGCACAATATAAAAACACAACATATGCAAAATGGCAATATTCTGTCACTTATACATCATTTACAATTATATTAACAAAACAGATCTATCAGTATATATATCTCTAAGTATCATGTAAGTACAAAGAATTATATTTCAAACATCTACATAACTATATACAACCCAACCCAAGTACCAGATACGGGTTGTAGAAAATTGATTATATGTGAAGAAGCTATTATTAGAAGAGAGATAATAAATAAATGGAAATTATTTTATTCTTACCAAAATAAAAATAAAATATCAGGATGTTGTTCTTTTTTTATTTATTTTTATAGGAGAGGGGGCAAACGAGCATGCGGCTCACCTGATGGTAAGTGACTACTGCCGCCCATGAACAACTGCAACACCAGGGGAACCAGGGGAATTGCAGATGCGTTGCCGGCCTTTAGGATTCTGGCTTAAAAAAGCCGAAATTTAAGGATCAACGGAGTCTAGTAGTTGGCATGAATAATAAATAATACCAAAAGGTTTTAAAATGCCTAAATACTTTTATTTTCTAAAACAATGCACTCTATTTGTGAGAAAGTACACCTACTTCAACAACTTATAGGTAGCTTTTAATCACGGTTTCCCGACCATATTTTTACCGTTAGACTCTAAACAAAGACACTACAACAAAGAAATATAATTATTATACATTCATGTTGCTCGTAACGGAATAAGTTTATATACTGGCATTAAGAGTGTACATCCAAGATGTTATTGGATTTCGAAAGCAGTCACTTGTGACAGGAGGGATGCACTTGTGATAGCCATGTCAAGGCACGCCATGGCAGGGTGCTGCAAAGCCTTTCACGCAGTATATTTTGGTGATTTTGTAAATATTTCAGCTTTGGAAATTCACTTTGAGCTAATGGCTTGGTGTTCTCAGAAAATGTAACTAGAAGAGTGCCGTCGTCCTAAATTTATAATAAAAGATTTTGTAATTCCATTTCGGTGGATTTTACTTAAATTTTGTTACTGTTCACATTTGTTCAATATGCTAAAATTTAATAACATCAATTGTTCTTTG